AACTATAGAAACCCCTATTTTGTTTTTTTCTTATGTAGCGTTTATCTTTGAAAATTGAAACGTCCAGTCAACAACAATTCTCAATCCAATAGCCGAATAACATGAAATAGAAAAAAATCAAGGAAAACATCTAAACTAGACTAACTTTCACAAATGATTATTCGGAAAAAGAAGATCATCAGTATTTAATATTTCAATCTTTATCATTAAATGTATTTTTATCATCTTCACGCGATTTTAAGTGAGACAAAATCGCTATATACCTAAGTTGTCTCTAATTTGAGATATAAAGCTGCTCGTGCAATCTCTATGAGATTAAAATGTGGAAGAGGATGTGGATGTTCTGTTATTCTATCTATATAGGGAAACATTTCTTCATAGTCATTTTACTTAATCATGTATAAATGCAATTAGCGGTGGTCCTGTAGTATTATTTTAGAAAATAAAGACAAAGTAAAGCAATAAAGTTGTATTAAGAGAGATTTTTATTATTCAAAAACTAGAGAAATAAAAACTTTATTTTTAGTTTTTTTAGTGTATTAAAAAGCAATGAAGTCTTCTTATGCTATTCTTGATGTCATTAAAGCCTCACTGTTTAATGAGGCATCTTTTTGAGACATTTTAGTTCAACTTCAATCTATGTAGCACTTCGCAAAACATAGTCTATATTGCTTTGACTAAATAGAGGATTCTAAGGAATAAAATGAATTTGTATGTTCAGTCCTATATGTTTTCTTGCTAGTGTATTATCAGGTGTATACACATATTTGTAAGAGTTGAGAGTAGGTATTTGAAACGAATTTTTTTCATACTAAGAGTTCAGCCTACTCCATGCTTTCTCTGTCTGACTCTTGTCCAATCAGATTGTTCGACACTGTGAGTTCAGTGTGTCTATTAGACCTAGGTGTTGTTATGACCTGTGAATGTTGGTGCTGAGTATGTCGCTAGTGTGTATGACGGCACGGCTGTCTTTATCTATTCGAGTATGAATGTGGCTGTGGACTGAATGCGACAGTGCAGTCGTTGTCGCTATGGATTGTTCTAGGTATGGAGCAGTGTTACAACTGGACGATTTTTTTTCTTACGGGTATCGGTCTAAACCGGTCAGACCAGACTTGCTGATAGGCCATCATCAGCCATTGTCTATTTTTATCACCTTGCAAGAGCCAAATCAATAACTCGATTAGTTATATCTACCTCTGACTCGCTACGGAAACAATCTCAGGCTTCTATTCACTAGTATAGTGCTTTGGTGAAACGTGATTATTAATGGATATTGAAGTAGGTGACGAGAAAATTCATTCCAAGTCATCCAGCTTTCTTCAAAGATCGTGAAAAATATAACTATGCTTTTTGAGCCAAAGGAAACACCGTGGCAAAGATTTTCATATGTCTAAAACGATCTAGTAGATTTTGTCGCACGTTGGCTTTTGGTTTCATTATGGTCTATCGTTAAGTTGATGAGTCTCTCTAACGCAAAAAAAAGGGAAAATTTCGTACTTCATTGTACTCTGATGATCAGCTAAGATTATCCTCTGTAACTTCTTAGCTATGTCAAGGCCAGTACTAATATGTGTCGAAAGTATATTAGTTTGAGCTCATTTTATAGTATAAGTCTGTCAGACAATAAAGCCCAAATATTTCGTCCTATTTTACTGATACTTAAATCCTAAAGTAATTACAATGAACTCTTTGGGCTTTAGTGTCAGACAGACTTATATAAAATGAACTCAAACTAAAAGGTTCGTGATGCACTTTGATACTAGAAGTGAAATAGCTAAGAAGCTCTAGAGGATAGTTTCGAAATACACTTGGAGTACGGTGATGTACAGGTAACCTATGAAGTATTCGCTGTTTCTTCCTTAGATTCCTATAATGATTAAAATAGTTCAATTATGCTTAATATTTTCATCGTATTGGGATTGTATTGAAAGCTTTTTCTTCAGCATCTACTTCTATAGGTTTTCTGTCTTTTGTCAACTATTGATGGATACAACATTTCATAACACTACAAATTCTATATCAACTTTGTATGCTAATAAAATGTTCGTCAGGCATTGCAACTCTCACTCAACTGTGCATGTACTCTGTCTTTTCTCTCTCGATAGGCTTACTTTATTATCTCGTTTGTCTTTGCGCAAGATATCGTATAAATAATACAAAATACAACATAAATATATATTAAATTACAATAACAAGCAGCGATTCTATTTTATTTCAATAATATAACTTGATATAGAAGTGACTTGAAAAAACAAATTAGAAGTATTTTGATAACTAGTCACTAAATAGAAATATTCTAATACATATCTCTTCACAGAAATAGCCATTGATCTCAGTTAAACTAATTTCATATACAAAACAAACGCCTCTATGATCAATTTTTTTTGGAAAAAAACATACAATAACTAGAAAAATATACCTCGATTGGTACAGAAGAAGTTGCGTCCACCAACCGTTATATCGATCGATAAAGAGTCCTCGATCGCAGGAAACAGGCCATTTACCATTTCCGGTTGCAAAAATGCTATGAGCTACATATCGATGTGGGCGGATGTCAATGTTTGGGATAGACATCAACACTTAGGCCCAATAAACACACTGAACTCACAGTGTCGAACAATCTGATTGGACAAAAGTCGGACAGAGAAAGCATGGAATAGGCTGAACTCTTAGTATGAAAAAAATTCGTTTCAAATACCTACTCTGAACTCTTACAAATATGTGTCTACACCTAATAACACACTAGCAAGAAAACATATAGGACTGAACATACAAATTCATTTTATTCCTTAGAATCCTCCCTTTATTCAAAGCAATATAGACTATGTTTTGCGAGGTGCTACGCCGGTTGAAGTTGAACTAAAACGTCTCAAAAAGATGCCTCATTAAACAGTGAGTCTTAAATGGCATCAAGAATAGCATAAGAAGACTTCATTGCTTGTTAATACACTAAAAAAACTAAAAATAAAGTTTTTATTTCTCTAGTTTTTGAATAATAAAAATCTCTCTTAATACAAATTATGCAATCCTAGACCCCTTCCAGTCATATTTTCTCTTCTAAAAGTACCCTTTGTTATAGAGAACAGTAAAGATGAAGGATCACCCAAAATGTAATTAAGAAGTAGTTAATATATTATTACGAGACGTTATTTAGATAAGGTCTGTAATCATATACTAACCACGTCTGCCACCGTCTTTGATGAAGGAGAGACGTTTTCAAAGTATCTCTTAGGTCTCCAAGGAGTTGTGACTAAAAAATCTCTGAAGTCGGTGGCAGTGGGCGGACGGTTCCATTGTATTTCCATTCAGGTTGAGATCTGTAGTCTGTATCGACCTTATTAGCCTCATATAGTTATTATTTGAAAATATGATGCACTGAAGAGTGACCAGTGCGCTTCTCGTTCTTGGTGCGGTTTTTATTCAATTTTATTCTTCAAATAAAGAATCTCAGCACTCTTCAGTGTTTTAAACCTAGTTGTCTTTGTACATTTCGCCCATAGATATATGTGAGTCGAAGTGTTGAGTTTGGCATATAAAGCGCGAAAGCATGTCGATGTGGATTTTCTCTTCATCGACACCTTGCAATCAATTGATTACCAATCAGAAATGTCATGATAAAGTAGAACATTTTTATATAATTCAAGCTAAAACATAAACACTTTTTTGAGAAAAAGCTTTTTTCACATATGTGATGATTTCATCAAACTAAATGTAATCTCTTTGTAATTATTCAACATAGTAATAGTTGTCTGTCCAGGTGAGCAAAGGAAAAGCAAAAAGACTAGTTGTTATTCTAGTCATGATGATACGCCATGTTTACTCTTTTGTCAAAAAACACTAGTCAGCAACTAGTGTGAAATCATTTCGGGTCCACAGCTAGTACCCTGATCACTTAACGACGGCTCTCATTCGATTCGTATTGTACCATCATAACGCTCGTCCAACAATAGTTTTAAACGAAAAAAGAAGTGCGTTCACGATGCTGCATACAGCCAGTTCTAGTCATATGTATTATTTGAATTCGAATTGGTCTAAATGACAGAAGCAATTCTGATGAAGAAGGTTAGATTAGAACATGCTAATCTTTTAGCTGATTGAATTATATGACCAAATAATCAAATTCTATGCCAATAAAATTCTAAGATATTACATAGAAGTTCAATACAACTAATTTCAAAATTGGTTGTATTTTTCTAAAAAAAAATTTTCTTCTCACTAAAACCTACCAAAATTATCTTACGCTGAAAAAATAATAAACACAAAAATTATATAAAATTAATCTAAAATTTAAAAATTTCATTCTTTTCCCTATTCTGAAATTTAAATTATCAGAATTCATATTTTAATTAGAATCAAAATTATCACATAAAGATATTAGAATCATTGTCAAACTAAATTATTTTCAATTCACTTACGAAGCAAATAAAATGCAAGATGACACACAGAATGCGAGGATAATTTATATAAAACACGGACTCGTTAAATAGTTTGACAACATTTCAGACTAGTCAAATTGCTTCATTCCTGTAACCTGTAGTTTTCCTTCAGAAAGTCCGTTGGATGTCAAATACTGTTGGATCAAGTAGTCGAATTCATCTGTTGTCTCTTTTCTCTTTATTATTCTGTTTTGATAACTAGTTTGAACCCAACGAACAGAAAAAACGAACTAGACATGACAGGTATAACGAGATTTGACGGGTAATGCGGATATTTCGAACTAGTCATGCTGAGAAGAAGGAATCATTAAGAAAAAAGAATAGATCGTTTTTTCAAGTATGAAGGATTATTTATATAAATTATTCATTGCAAAAAAAAAATGATGTGCGTCTGCTCGCTACATTACTTGCATGAAAACACTAAAAGAAAACTTAATAAAAATAAGGAGTGCAAGGCAAACAAAGTTGAGACTTTTATTTTGTAAGAATAATAAAAAAAATTTCATTTAAGTTTATTTCTTTTTCAAACAAGACTAAAATCAAATAGAAAATGAATCGTTTTTATGTGCGAATATTGTTTTCTGCAGTATTTCTAGTTGTATTTGTTCTGTCAGTGGGTGGGACTAAAACTGCAAGAGTGTGTATTGGAGCGACACGATCAGCCCAACGTGGATTCCAAAAACATAATAATCTTTTTGCTTGTCTTCGAATTTCACTTGATGTTATCATATAAATGTAAAAATCAGTACAATATTGAATATAAAATAAACAAATAGCCATTAAACGAAAAAATTGAACAATATTTTCTTGATCTTCACTTCGAATAACTTGAATTGTTAATGATCGATAAAGATTTATTGTTGCAAATGGAACAGAAGCAATCGCATTTGTTATTACTTGAAACAAGAACATTCGAGTTATATGTCTATCAAAACGTCTCATGAAATTTTGATTATTCAAAGTGTGAATATGTTTTCGTGTTAAATACCAAAAATATATTGCTAAAACAATCGGTAAAACTCCTTCAAGAATTGGATAATAAACTAAAGCTGCAATCAATAGAAACATTGTTGATTTTGAAGTACATAAATAAGAACCATTAGGACCAAGAGGAACATTTTCAAAAAGAATAGCTACTGGTAAACCAATGAAACATCCAGCACTTGCTAATCCAATAATAACTAAATATAAAGAATTTTTTTTTGAACTGAATGATCGAATTCGTGCTGATCTAGATGATATTGCATAACGATCAAATGATATAAAACAATTGATAATAAATGATGATGTTACAGTAAATATAGCATAACTCATTTGAAATTTACAAAATGGTGTATTTAATGCAAGTACATTGATTTGAAAACCAAATACAAGAATATTTGGTAAATAATAAAGTGGTAAAAATAAAAATGATAGAGTTCCATTGACAATCATATAAATTGAACATGGATTTTGATTAAATGGATTTTGACTAAATATTAAAATAATCATCAATGAGCCAAACATTCCAATAAGTATCATTGATAATCCTGCATAGATCAATATTTGGCGTGCTACTAGAACAAGAGTTGCTGTTGAAAAGATCATTTGTTTTGTTTTGAATCGTCGATGTTAGTTTATTCTCGTTTTTCCTTATTGAAATCAAACAAAAAATGAAGTGAGTTTTTTTAATTTTTTCTTGCTTCTTCTCGAGAACATTTTATTCTTGTTTTTTCTTCTTTCATTGTTATTAACAAAGGATGTCTCGACTAATTTTTTACTAATGTGATGAGAATCTTTTTTGACATTTTTTCTTTTCTCTTCTTTTTTGTTTTAATTTTATGATATTTTGAATAAAAAAATTGTTTTTGATACAATGCACCATTCATCCAAATTTCAATGAAATTCTTATTAAAGGATTAATCAATTATTCTATCCAATATTTCATACATTTCACAAAGAAAGATATTTTTTAATCAAAAAGGCACATACCTGTGGAAGATAAACAATTGCCACTAATACTGTATGAGCTCAGCGTCATTGCAAGTACTATTGTAATTGATGAGGTTTACTTTACTGAGAAGCCTTTTAAATGATGATGTAATCCCACCAGTATGGATAATGTTTGCATTTGATCTCGTTCTACCATATTAGATAGATTATACAATAGTTTTGCATATGATAGAGACATTTTGAAATGGTACTGGTGACCGATGTTACTTCCCTCGAGCATAGTACTACGACTCAATCGAGCTAGAACTTAGACTGTTGTAGTGGTTACTAACATGCTGAAAATTGAAAAAAGTATGAGCGAATAGTTTGGTTTGAATTGTTGCAAATGGAATTTTGTTACCTGAAAAATCAGTTCTATCTTCAGCGCCATGCTTTTGAATTGCTCATGAAAATAAAGTTAATTGAGACGAAAAGTACACAAAGAGTTAATTAGTGAAGTTTTTGAAGAAGGCAGACTTTCTTTGCGCCGTTCTTAAGGCATTGATGTGCGTGTGATTGACGAAGTGAGTTTCTTGAATTTGTCTCAATCGAACTGATTCCATCATGTAGAAAGAGATATTGTTGTTCGATTTAACATAGAAAATTGCTACACATGCGTCGACAATATGCATCATGCGCTGTTTATTTTCAACAGTCATTTATTATTTCAAGTATCACACTCGTTACAACATTCAAATAGGTCTTTAGTTTTTTTAAAATTAAATCGACTATATTATTAATTATAATGCTATCGGATTAATTTAATTTGTCCATTTGTGCATCCAGCCTAGCACTTGTTCGTACCAGGCAAGTGAATTAAGCGGATTTAGTATCCAATGGTTTTCTGTAGGAAAATAGAGTAATCGACTTTCGATGCCACGACGCTGCAAAGCATTAAAGGCACTTATTCCTTGTGTATCTGGCACACGATAGTCATGAGCACCGAGAGTAATTAGCATTGGCTGGGTCCAATTCGCAACATGATTCACTGGATTATATAGTTCATAAGCATCAGGATTATCCCATGGAGTGTAGCCGCCTACATCATGTTCACTGAACCATAACTCCTCTGTGGAATAACCCATAGCTCTCATATCAAACAAACCATTATGAGAAATGAGTGTTTTGAAACGACGACTGATTTCTGGCTGTCCAGCAATCCAATAGACCATATATCCACCGTAACTAGCACCTAGTGCTACAGCTCGATTCGGATCAATGTAAGAAAACTTGTTCAGTGCATAAGTAAGTCCTAACTGAAGATCTTCGAAAGGTAATGAACCGTATTGACCTGTAATACTGTCTGTAAAATTCTGTCCATATGAGTCGGAACCATGAAAGTTGATAGCAATTACGGCAAAACCTTGAGAAGAATATGTTTGGAAATTCCATCGGTAGCTCCATGCATCGTACCAACTACTTTGTGGACCTCCATGAATAAGAAAAGCAAGTGGAGCTCGTTTGTCAGTACCATTTGACGGTGGCATATGCCATCCCCAAACTTTATTACCCCGAGCACCTAAAAACGAAAATGTCTCAGCCATAGGACTTATTTTCACTTTGGTTAATAGAGCTTGGTTATGATCAGTGAGGGATCGCATTGATGCATCCGATGAATATAAATAAATATTGGTTGGCTCAACGAAACTTTGATGAGTAAAAACAAACACTCGACTATTGATTGGATGAACATTGACATCGTGTGCTGTACCATGACTGACGAGACGAGAGAGTGATTGATTTGTGAATACATTGAATAAATGGTAGATGACATTTCGTGCTTCTTCACCAAGTTCAAGAAAAAGAGATTGACCATCAATAGACCATGTCACAGTTTCAATGCTTCGATCCCAATTATCGAGAAGTGTTATTTTCGAATTTGATCCTACAAATGTGAAGGAGAACAAACAGCGTAATTTTTGAATCGTATAAAAATAATCTGACTAACCATTGTAGAGTTTTATTTTGAATTGATCAGCCTCATATCCTGGTTTTGACTGTGATCGATAAACCAATATATTGTCATCTGTTGGTGAATAAGATGGATTAGTATCAGCTGCCACATTATCACATGTAATGCACACACTTGATTGTCCAAGTATACTCAAATCCACAGTGTAAATATCCAGATTGGTTGACCAAGCTACAGCACTTGTTTCATCGTATTGTCGAGTGTATGCAAACGAATTGCCATTTGCACTAAATGACCATTGTGATTTAGCATCACCAAAAGGTCTTGTTGGGGAATCACTATCTACATTGAAAAGTACATCAATCGGTTCTGATGAAAATTTGAATATTTCATTCGATTGTCGTTCGATTGAAACAAGAAATGGATGGTGACGTGGACCTGTCATATATTCATCCCAGTGCCGAATGAATAACTTATCAAATTGATAAACTGAGTGACCACTGTTTTTCTTCATCGTTTGTCGAGAAAATGTTTCTTCGATCGTTAAATTTGGATAGACTTGGCAACTAAATGCAAGACGTGATGCTTGTCTATTTACTAACAAGTTATCAATATTCAATGAATAATTTGTTATCTGAATCGGTTCAAGAAATGTATTAGTCGCTTCTAATAAGTTGACAGGAAGCGTAAGTTGAAAAATTTGAGTGAGACCTGATGAAGCTCGATTGGATAAAAAGAGAATAGTGTTATTATCGATCCAAAAGAACTAAAGACAAACAAAAATTTGAATAAATATATGAAATAGTTCTACTCTTACTTGTCCATCATGTTTTCCCCAAATTGGTTGTGTCAATTGAACATTCTTGTTTGTTTCTAAATCGAGCCAATGCAAAGTTGTTGTTGATCCACGTAAATCAGGCATATGATACTGTCGTCGTAAATAGATGACACTTTTTCCATTCATCGGATGAAATCGAGGAGATGAAAGACGATCCAAACGAAGATTATCCATTTGAGAAAAGTCATGCACATTGGTCAATGACTGATAATAGTCACTGTTTGACTGATAATCATCAGTATTTCGTGTTGTTACTGTAGATGTCGTTCGATCATGATTATGTTTGGAACGTTTAGTTATAACCACAAGAGTGGGTATTAATATGACGGCTGCACCTAACAGGAGTGCAGTTGACCAGAAAAACTAAAATACATCACAGTCACGGTAATACTAGAATAACAAACGTCGAAAATTATAACCTTCTTGTATTTCAATCCCTGTTGAAACATGCAAAAATCTTCACAACAAATAGAGAAGCAAACACAAATATCTTCTTTTTCTGTTCTTTTTATATTGTATTGATGTATGTCATTTAAGTATTAGTATTTCAAAAATGTTAATAGTTTGGTATTTGTATTGAAATTAAGTCAAATATCAGTGTATTATTTTATGTCATCAAGGGTGTTGCGAGTTGAAGGACGATTATGCGTAAAACGCACGAACATTTAAAATGGTTGAGTATGCGAGAACGATTTCAAATATGCACTGTTTTTTTTTTCAATTTACAAACAGCCATATCTTTGACAAATGAGTAGGCTCACTCAACTTGGGCAGATACCCAACATATTTGGCATCTATATATTAACATTTGAAAAATAGAAGAGATGTATTCTTTCAATTTTGAGTCTTATAATTGAAGTTTGTATACAACTCGTGTGAACGTGTTCTATGAACCTCGGTTATCCACAACTTTAGTTATCAGTATAGATTGTAATATACGTTATCATCGACATCGAATTATTTTTTTCTTTGCCTGCTGGTGTACTTTTCTTCGTTCTGTCATTCGATGCTTGATATCTTGTACTAATATTTGGCTGTGGGTGTTGATGTCGGTGTGTGCATCATATTTACTAATTACTAAAAACCAATCAAAACAGTCAATAAATATAGGCAAAACAGTTGCATAAACTTTTCATTGACAACTTAAAAGATCTCTGAGGAAATATTTATTTTTCAGGTAAGAAATTACAAAATAATTAACTCCTTCAACGGCGTCGAATTTACATGGTTAAGTGAAATATTGTGAAAGCGCATAATGAACAGATGCCTAGAAAGAATTTCAAAATCCTTGTGCAATGATGTAGGTATAAGTGAGTAGGTGTCATTCGCACATCTATTCCGCAGCTCCACACCAACTCACACTCACACTTACGCTCTCAAGAGTTGTCTTTGAATACTGTTAGGATTGTATAAATCTAAACCAAAAACAAAATATCGAATGGGTATTAGCAAGAACTTGAACATCATTTTCCTGACGTAGAGATCGTAAAAAAGATTTTTATCAGCAGTATTCTTTATAGAAAGGTATTCATTGGTTTGATTCAGAAACAGAAAGTTTATTGGTCAAAGTTTCGATATTTGCTTCTAATCAATATCTCTCGATTTTTAAATCTCATTCAACAAAAAACTTTCAGTCTGTTTCTTGTTGTCTGAACGTTACGATTGTCGAAAATAAGTGCTACATAAGAAAAGAACAAAATAGGATTTTCTGAGTTTCTTTAGCTTACATCAACTCCAACTTTGACTCCGAAAAAACTTCTTTCACTAACTTCGACCTCATTGCAGTCGAACTTCGATTTTTGAGTTCGATATCTGACTCTAGCCTCCAGTTACATTCACGAAGCATTTTTTCCCATGCCTTTATCAAAAATCCGAAAAAGAAATCAGAATTGTTTTGATACTGCGTCGAGCAGAAAGATACCCCAATTAAATGACAAATGATCCTTTCAAATAGTCGATGAACTCGATGACTGTTTTAATTCTTCGTTGTTCTGTCCATTTGAATTTCTTCTCTATTCATTTCTTTTCTTCTCAATCCAACAGCCAAATAGCGTGAAATAGAACAAACACGAAAAAAAGAAACATCGACGTTAGACGAGCTCTCGCAAGTGATTATCAAAAAAGAAATTCAATGTCTCTTTTTTCGCCATTAAATATGTCTTCGTCATCATGTGACTACAATTGACAAAATATCGTCGTACACCTAAGGTTGCGCTAATTTATGGAAAAAGCTATTAGCTCAATCCATGTCAGTTAAATATCGAGAAATGCAATGAGGAAGCAGTTCACGTGTGTATGGATTTGGGTATGTATATTTTATCAACCCGCACTCATCCTATAAATTTTTTTTCAGAATCTTGTGGCGTGCAAGGAGAATAAAAACTTCTAATCTTTTGAACGAAAAAGACAGCGCTGCATTTGTAGCCCATATCGACCTTTCTAGTCCATGTAGTTATCTCTTGAAAATATCATGGATTAAAAAGAGACCTTTGTGCTTCTTGTTCTTTTTGAGATTTTTATTCAATTTTAGTTTCCGAATAAAGACTCTCGGTTCTCTTTAGCGTTTTAAAGAGATTTTTCTTGATGCATCTCGTCCATAAATGTGTGTGATTCGTACTATCGACATTAGTTGAACAGTTCAAGATGCTCTTTTCAATGCAATGAGCACGATTTTATTCATCTTGTTGCAACATAAAAACTGCTCCAATAGCTCTCTTTAGAAACGAAATATTGATACTTTTCATGAACAAGTTAGAAATTCAACACATTAAACATCACCATCTAGCACGAGCACTAAATTATGTGAACCCATGGACTATGATGCATTTGTGCACAATTGATAAAGATAGTCTGACTCATTGAATAGCATTATACGTTTTTGGCACATACTAGATAACCATAATCAGTGAACGTAGTAGATTGAATGCTATACCTTGGAACATAGTGGCACATCAGGACGATAACTATTACAAGTAAATCTGTCAATCGAGTCCCTGATTTTCATTTCACATTTGGATGTAGGTGCGGCTTTGTGTGAATGAGAATAGAATATCAACACCCACAAAGAGAAGAGTAATAGAAGAATACACATCGAACATGAGATGATCAAATGTTATCATAACATATCCTAAAAAACAGATCTTATCAAAACATTCTTATTGTGATATTAGTTCAAGGATGATTAAAGATGACAGAAACATAGAACATCATTTTTACTCTCACTACATGCAAATAGAAAATTTCCTCAAACTTTCTATATGCAAATTAAAGTGCTTTCACCGCTACTTCTGGATTTCCCGAAGTATATACATGTGTACTATATACATTCAATAATTTTTTTCTTTTCTATTTCAAAATTCATACTATTTGCCAT